CCAATTTCCGGTTCCAAAAGACCCGTTCGCAGGCAAACACTGCGCGCAAAGCAGGCTGGTCATTTCCCATTGTTTAACTGCCCCACTCAAGTAAACCACAAAGACTCACAGATGTTGCTTCGCAACATCCGTGAGTCAAAAAGGATATTCTTTTCAGTTCAGGATCCAGTTCTTGTTTTTAGATCAGTGCATTTACCTATATGCATGACATAGAGTCCTAGCGTGAGACCGTAACTTTTAAATAAGTCAACCTATGCTGTATTACAGTGCTTATTATGTATTTTTATGAAGAATGCAACACATGGACCTGGCTTATGGACAGTACTCGGAACATAAACTATGTATCATCCACCGTGGTATGTGACAACAATCTTTTAACAAAGTGGTACAGATTTGGTGGTGGTGCCGGAACACAACTATCTACGACATGTATCCCAGCAGGGAAAAAATGTGCCTCACACGGTGTTTCGTGGTTAAATGGTGCTCATCCTTCTGTCAACGAGGGGAGGGTCACACGCGAGGTGTGTTTCGGTTATGCCAATAACTGCTACTATGTAAGGAAGAATATCGATGTTGTCAATTGTGGATCGTTTTATATTTACAAACTGGTTTCTACAGGCAGTTGTCACCATAGATACTGTGGGACTGATGTGTAAAATAGAAGATATGCCTTAGTTATTCGTACGTTTGCGCGAACTTAATATAGTCGCGATGTTTTCGAGGCGATATTTTGCAAGACTTTATTTCGCAATTTTGATATGCGAAATTAGAAATAAAGTCTTGCAAAATATCGCCTCGAAAACATCGGTTCTCATTGGCTATCATTAATTACTCGCGTTCTTACAAATGTCATAGTTTTTAGTCTAAAAACTAGGAGTTACTATCGCATGGAAAGTGCTGCCGTTTGGCTGCATGAACTGACTGCAAAAGAGTATACTTCTAGACAATAGACCTTTCCCCTTTTAAGTGAAATTTTGATCAAGACAAGTCTGGACAAAAATTTCATCACAGCTTGAAAGAGCATCACAAAATTAGTAATATTCCAAAGTTTCGTTGCGAAATGTTGTGAAATGCGGATAATATAGCCTTGCGAAGTTTGCCGTTTTTCAGTCATTTAGATTACAAATGGGAAATTGATAATCAGATGATCAAACTGATTATCAATTTCCCATTTGTAATCTAAATGACTGAAAAACGGCAAACTTCGCAAGGCTATATTATCCGCATTTTACAACATTTCGCAACGAAACTTCGGAATATTACTAATTTTGTGATGCTTTTTCATGCTGTGATGAAATTTTTGTCGAGACTTGTCTTGATCAAAATCTCACTTAAAAGGGGAAAGGTCTATTCTCTGAAGGAAAGTTTACTTTTGACCCAATGCCCTCATTTCCAGGGTTTATCATTGGTATTAGAATGTTAGGGTTTGTAATCCAAGTGAGTATATAAAATTATACATTTTTAAGACCTGACCAGGAACGACTGCGAAAAATGCGCACAAGGTCCTCTGGTAGGAATTGAACCTACGGCCCTGCGATTCCGGTGCAGCGCTCTAACCAACTGACCTACAGAGGCCAGCTGTTGAGCTGTAACCGTACGTTCATGTATATATAGGTAATCGGGTGTGCGGGTTGTGATAAGGTGGACTTCAATGATTTGGTTTCTTGCACTTCACTTGGTGGAATTAATATTAGAATTAATATTAGAATTTTATCATTGGTAGCATAGCAGGCCTGCACATGAACGTTATATCCCCTATACTTCCTGCACAAATTTGTTTCTCATTCATCATTTTATGATTTAAAGACAAACGACACAAACTTATTACTAAACTGTGTTCACGGAACACGAGTAAATAACCAATATGAAAATGAGGGCATTGGGTCAAAAGTGGATAAACGGCATACACATTAGCTGGTAATGCACCCTACTGTAGTATTAACTCGTCTAACCTCAGACATATTTACACTCTGTAACGCCAGACGATTTTACTAGTCAGTGTTAGAGTACTATCAGTATTAAAATGGGGTTAACAAACCTATCTGCCAATGTCTCTAATTATTAACCCCCATTGGCTGGCAATGCGACCTACTTTAGTATTTACTGTGATACTGTCTATTAACGCCGAACAACTTTACTCGTGAGTGCCAGTTTGAATTTTATTCGCACGCGCGCGCCACGTGTATGCTTGGCCATATAAGGAGAATCACACTGCCTGATGCACGTGCAAACCACTGCCACTGGGAGTACTTTGATCTGCAATACTCGACTTTGAAGTAGGGATGGGCGATACCAGCTTTTTCATTCGATACGATATTTACTCGATATTTGCCATTTTTTTTCGATATCGATGTCGATATTTTCCCAACTCGAACAAGCACAACAACAAAAGACTATTTTCATCTCTTAGACTCCAAAATCATGCTGGTTGAATACGTTTTCAACACGTTTATTTTCATGATTGTAACTAGCATAACCACAAACTCCGATCCTGCCCATGGACCATTAAGCATCATAAAAAATGAATTACCTTGATAGTATTTACGCCTATTTAGGCTTTTTGGTATCATTTTCATGATGAGTCCGCTGACCAAATCGAAACAATCGATAAAAAACCTTCAAAACCCTGGTATCGATAGTATTGAGTATTTGGTATCGATATCGGTCCATCCCTACTTTGAAGAAACAATTTAAAATTAAATTCTCGAACTCTTTCATATACATAGTAGCCAGAGACTTGTAGTAGGTAACCATAAAGTGGATAGCCATAGATGAACCCTGTTTCCCTCGATATTCGCAACGTCTTTAATATTAAAACCGCGGGTTCATTTAATACATCAATATAAAATTTGAAAACACTGAATATATAAACTAAACTTATAGATATAATCACTTTTAATGCATTTGTTCGAACACTGACTGACACAATCAAAGGCAAACTGGGCAGGTTGTTGACTCAGTGTAGCATATAAAATGTTATTTAATATTAAGTCTAAACCGTAGACGTAGTCTCAAAACCGTACGTTGATGAATACTTCCACGATTATTACCAGTAAAGTTGTGGCATAACATATATATAAACTGCACTTGTAATACCTTTAAAATTATGATTACTTCCTGACACATCGATATCTTTCAAGACTGTGAAGACACGTTCATTAGCATTCGCGTTTCCCTGATGTGTCACCCCCCGTAGCCTTCGGTTTGCCGACGGACAACCTTTAAAAATGAGGCCATTCTGAAAAGACGACAATACATAACTTGGCCAAAGAGACTGGGCACAAGTGAATGTCAAGAATAGTGTGCTGCCGAGCGTTATGGCTTAAGGACTTACAAATGAAGACTTACAAATGTCAGAAAATAGTGTTGTCTTCGAAAATAGTCATACACTAAAAATGATATGCATTACTCCATTAGCTTTATTATGAACAAAAAAACTTTAATACATTTACCCGCTGGTGTTTTGATGAAATCCTGATTCCTGCCCCATCGTCTGATACGTTCACGCAGTTCGTCCATGCTTTGATGGAGGAGGATTTCGGCGAATTCGCCATATAAAAGCCCCCAGCTGTATTCCGGGGATCCCAGGCTTTCTTTCTTTCTTTCGTCCAAAGGACGGTTGTTCAAGTATCGTTGAATTTGTCAACGATATTCTTTTTGTGATATACCCTCACTTGTTGATCTCCCACGAACGGGGAATACAAAAGCCATGATTAGCCATATTTACTTTATAAAATGAGAAAACTTTCTAAATTCTAAAATCATTGGTTAAGATAAAAACACGCCAAAATCTCAATCAATGATCTATTAACATATTCCAACTATGAAAAATATGGCATCGTCTAGTAGGAATAATGCAGATTGATAAGGATACGCTTCGGATGTCAATTTTTCGTCACTAAAGTGGCTAATAAAATGGCGGAATACAAAACAATCAAAACATGTTAGCGCGCAAAGCATTACGGTTGACTGTGATTCTTTAAGAAAGAACTTTAAAGCCATATTCTTGATTTGTGTGAAAAATTGAATTGCATGCACTGATAATTATCAAGTCATTGTAGTGGTAGTATGTTGCACCGGTAAAATCTTTATTTACAGTTTAAAAAACTTAAAATATAAATCAAGCTTTCGGACTAAGCGTCCATCGTCAGGATTAAAATGGCATAAATGATTAGTCGCTTAAATACTATTTACATGTTAATGATCTAACTAAAATATTAGGTTTTTGAATAATTAGACTAGAAGACAAAAGAGTCATAATACAGGGTGTCTCAAAAAAACCCAAAATCATTGAAATTGACGTATTGTTCGATATTCAATGCCCCAGCACTAAGTTAATCCCACGAGTGCATAAAAGATTGACATAACTGCTATAATGAATGGTAATACTCAGCGTAAACTTGTTATGTCAGGCATAAAGTAC